ACTGGCTATCTAAGGATAAAATTATATCAAAAACAGTTATTTAAATATATTTTAATTAATAAAATATTAAGTAAAAGTCAAATATTTGTAGCAAAAATTTGGTACAAATAATTATCAAAAAGAGTTAATTAATTTATATTTATGATTTAAATATTATATATAATAAAAATAATAATAAATTTAAGTTATAATATTAAAATTTTTATAAATTTATATAAGAATTAACTAAATTAAAGTAATTTTATAATTTTTATTTAAAAATTTTGTATTTTAAAAACAATATAAAATAGTTTTATAAATTAGACTTTCTAATACAATTTTTAAGTTTATATTATAACAATTATATCTCTTAAAATCTGAACTAAAAAATTTAAACTAAAATATCTAAGTTAAAATATTTAAGCTAAAAAATTTAAAATTAATCTAAACTAAAAAAAATTTAAACCAATTAATTTTTTTAATCAAAAAAATATAAAGTTAATAAATATAATACAGTTAATAAAAGTAATATAATTAATAAAAGTATATAATTAATAAAGATAATATAATTGATAAAAATAATATAATTAATAGAAATAACATATTTTAATAACAAAATTAGAATATAAATATGTATATACTTATATATATATTGTATAAATTTTAAAAATTAAAATAAATATCTGTTTAAATTTTTATTTTAAGATAATAAATTCTTTTTATAAATATTTTAATATATACAGTTTTGTTATTGTTTTTTAAATTAATTATAGTTTTAGTTTTATTAAAATTAGTTTAAAAATTTTTTTTAAATTGCTAGATTTATATTAGTATTAGATATTATGGCAATTAGCTAACTAGGCTTATAAAGTTATTGCAATAATAAACACATAACTGTTTTTATATAAACTTTCTAGATTTTTCAAATTAACTATTAACTTTATTATAAATTATTAAAATTTGAAGTATTATTTGTGTTTCTTCTATTTCTATTTTTTGAAAATTAACAAAATTAGCAGTATTAAACTGCTAATATATACCAAGAAGCTTATATTCAAATATAAGTTTACAAAGTGTTTTATTATAAACTCTATACTAAATAGTATTATAAAAAATTTTTTTAGTAAATAATTTTTTTAATTAATATTTTGTAACTAAAGTACTTTATTATATAAAATTTTTATAAATTCATAACTAATAGTTTGATTTAATATTTAATTTATTTTTAAAGCATTAAATTTATACAAAAATAGATAAAATTTTAATTTCACATATATACAAAACATCAAAACAGCTGATCTTTAAATTGAATATAAATATAATTGTTTTTCAGTTATAAAAAATATATTTTGTATCTAAAATTTTATTAATATTTTAATTTTATAAAGATTGAGATTATATTATTATAAAAATAACTAATAATATTTTGATAAGTTTTTAATGCTTTTAAAAAATCAACTTTATAAACCATTGTATAATTTTTTTTAAATTATGAAATTTTTTTTAATTACAAACAGATTTTTTGTAATAAAAAAATTTAAATTTTAAAATTTTTATATTAAACTTTTTTATAATTATATAAACACATTATTGTATATAATATATATATTATTAAAAAAATATAATAATAACAAAAGACTTTTTAAACTATATTTATATAAATATAAATATTTTCATTATTTATTATATAGTTAAAAATGTATAACTAATAAATTAAAACTTGATATTTTAGTATTAAAAATAAAAAAATAATAGTAATGAATAATTTTTTAAACTATATTATATAAATTCAAACATTTAATATTACTTTATTATATAATCTAAATGTGTAAATAATAATTGAAACTTGATATTTAAATAAAAAAACAATTAAAGATGAGTCAAATTATCTTTACTTTAAGATAATTATAACAATTTGTTTTAAGTTTTTAACATATTATTATTACTATAGTATATTATTATTAATACTTTATATTTGGAAAATTAATTATAATTCTATACAAAAAGATTATTAAGAAAATTGATTTTCAATCTCCTTTATTATTTTTAAAAAATAATATGATATTATAACACAGATGAGGTATTGTAATGCACTCATAAATAATGTTTCAAGTTGGTAAAAATTTTACTAATCAACTAGTTACTAACTATAGTTGCAACTAATCAACTTTTATATTATATAACTAAATTGTTAATTAACTAATCAAAACAAAGAAATTAACATGAGTTAGCCTAAACAAATAGAATATCTTATAATTGTACTATTTAATAATTTAATTGTTTAGTAGTTTTTAAATAAAATTTCAAATCAACTAGTTGAAAAGTTGTCAACTAGTTGATTTTTCAACTAATAATTTGGATCACTACTCATGAATTTGTGATATATTGATCAGAATTGAGTAATTTTGGCATCATTTGATTCATCTTACTGAGATGAATCCAATAATATAATTTTTTGATTATAATTGCTAAATCACAAGATATAAGTAAAAGTCAACATTACTTATGACAGTATTAGTTTCTTTTAATTTTTACAATAGATTTACTCATTTTGTTTATGTCCGGAGAAAGGATACAATAATACAATAGGAAACATATAGTGAACATGGTGCACTATAATGCCCCCAAATGTAAAAAAAACATAGCATTTTTTGAGTAGATTATGAAAGCTCATATTTCAAATTTTTTTTAAAGAAATTTTTTTTTTATGACAAATAGTTAATTTGCTGAGTAATCTATTTTAACAAATTTTGTAAATACAAACAGTATTCCTAAAAATTTTAATATAAGCCACTCTTAAGTGCATCATAATACTCTACTCTCCCTTATATGGAGATATTGATGTTTTTAATTTTTTTGCACATACGTATGTACATGTAAAACCTTCCTGAATTCAAAACAACTATGTGCAATCAATGATTGCAAATAGCCACAAAAAAAAAAAAAGTTTTAAACAAAAAAAAACAATAGTGAAAAAAGTAAAACAAGAAGAAAAAAGTTTAGATACCAAAAAAAAAAGCTAATAAAAAAAACTAGTAGAAAAAATGCAAAACGAAAATAAACAAACAAAAAAAAAAGGACAGGCAAAAAGAAAATCGTAAAAAGAAGGTTAAAGTTAAAGAAAATAACTGAAAAAAAGGGTCGAGATAAATGAATCATTTGGATTGGCTGCCTCATGATGTAAAATTTTGGCAAGACTCTGTGAGTACCTCAACTTAGGGAAAACTCATCTTGATCCCTCAGAATAATTGACCGAGAACATTAATATTATCTCTGCTCATATCACTCAAAAATACTGCCAGGTGTCAGAATAGGTTTATTTGATCACCTTTTGCGTAACAGAAATATAATAAAAGATAAAATTCCGATCAATATAAGTACACCTATCCCAACACTTATCCCAATGACCAGTAAAAACGAAGGACCATGTGCTTGGAATTGACTTGTTTGAGTAGGTAAATTATTTGTAAAATTCAACGTAGTAACCCAGTTGTAAGTCAAGGTATTTAGAATATAAATATTATTGCTATCTACAATCAGTGAGAATGAATTTGACCTGCATAGAATAATTTTACATTATTGCTCAATCAGATGACTTTATTAAAACAGAGATAAAAACATATGAGAAATCTGTTCGCTATCGTATAGGATCCACACTTACTCTACCTAAACCTCCAACAACCAGCTACAAATAACCAATATGGTCATACAAAAGCATTTGTTCAGGAGAGTCTACATAGCTGCTCAGAGGATCGGAAGCATAGGCAATGTAGGGGTCTTTGCACTACTATAGTCATAGAACCCCATGTGCTGTAACAATAAAGAGATCTTTGCACTGCATTTGTAGCCGCAGAGCCTCTCAGCACTAAAATTGGGTCTTTGCACTGCAAATACAGCCGCTGAGCCCAAAATAATCACACTATTGGGGGGGAAAGGGCGGGAAGACAGAGCTAGCCTTCTGCAAGGCGAGTGATAGCGAAGAGAAAAATAATCTTCTCTAACTATCCAAAAGGGGCTTAAATAATTCCTCAAATCATAAAGCCCTCACTCCTTTCGCCCCTATCATCAAACATACATCAAAATGATTACATTTACTTTCATTACCCATTTGCTAAAACTAATACAAACTATATTAACGAATAATCATATGCAATTACGTTACAAAACAGGAAGTGCCAGTACATAACAAGAAATTCCAAAACAATCTATAAAAGGCTAAGATGACAATGAAACATGTGATTTATAAAGTCATCTGATTTCGCAATAATGTTCGCTTTGTCACTTCGTTGACAAGCTCTCCATTGTATAAAAAAATAGATTTAATAACATAACGATTACCAATGACAATTACCAAATGAAAGAATCATATGATTTTCATATAATGTCGCGGAATGATAAGAAAGTGGTGGTGGTGCATTCGTTTTAGAAATATTTAGAGTAGACCACGTCCATGAATTTGTGTTTAATATAACAAGATCAGATAATATATTGGTGGTGGCACCAGTATTAAGATTCACGATTGATCCTCCATATAAAATAATGTCTCCATTTTGGACTGATTAAAAAAAAAGGTTTAATGAAGTTAATAGAGTTGATTCTTTATGTCATTTTTTATGTTGGTTGAAACAATTTTATTTTTACTTAAAACAGTTGAGTGTCCAATGCGGCCTTGTACAGAATCCCCAATTATCGTCTAGTGTACATTTTATGATAATAAAATGTTATTAAAATTATTATCTAGTAATATATTAATTACATATGTACCTTATTAGACCAAACATATGTCGTTGTGTCAAATATTAGAATCTATATTTGATAAAGCAAAGGCTTTAAAATATAAAGGCTTAAAAATTAAAAATTTAGAATTAATGATCAAAATACCTGATTCATATCAACAAATGATAAACCTGTGATCGCCGGGGAACCTGGTGCCGCCGCAACGCTGTTGCCTTGTGGTGGAGATATAAATAGGTGATTAAATATTTTTGCAATGACGAAATAGACGAAACTAGTGCCGGAATATGACTGCACCTTGGTTATTAATCGATATTGGTGCTGCGAATTCTTCGCGTTTTGAATTTCCTGGGCTTGCTGGAGAAGTTGCACCTGGTATAGTTGAAGGCGGACTTGGAGTTGGATTCGGCGCTAATAAAGTTCCGTATTTAACACCACCAATATAAACAATAAGACCATTCGGTAATAATGCAGTAGTATAAGCAATACAATGAGGAATATTGTCAGGTTGAGTTAGTGTTAACCAAGTCATAGTAGTAATATCAAGTATATTCATTTCGTTATAAACAATAGTATTTATGCTATTAGGATAAGTATAATTATATCCACCAAAAATAAAAATTTTACGATCATTATTTATAACGCCCTGCATCGTGTTGTTTGATTTGTAAAAGAACTATTAAAATCAATAATATTCGGTATTGTCCAATCAGAACTCTTAGAATTAAATTCATATACTGGCGAAGAAAAGTTATAATTCATTGAATTGGAATTATATGTTTTTCCACTTATTAAAAAAACCAAAAAGGTATCAACAGTGCTAACACATGAAACACCAGAAAAATATCCTACTGGCATTGTGGAGTCTTTATTCCATAATGGTTTGGCTGTGTCCAGTGAAATTGATAAGTTAAGGTACCACACTTCATCGGTAACAACTCCCAATGGCATGTAGCCACCAAAGAAGTAAAGTTATTTATCAACTATTGCACTAGTTTGTCCATGTTGAGAACTAGGAATATATTGACAAATTACATGCAAATATATTAAGTTTAATATAGTAAAAAAAACATTATGAAAAAAGTCATATATAAATGTCATTTTTAATTAAGTACGTACGTTGTGACAGGCTAGGGGTCACGTTAAATCCCTATTCTATTTCTTTTATTTTTTTTATTATTATCTTTATTTATTTATTTTACTTGTCTATTTAGTCTATTATTATTATTATTACCTGTATTTCGAATTAGCTATAAGTGGAGAAATTTAACTAGTTAGTATAACCCTAAAAGGTAGAGGAGGATCGCTGCAGATACAATATACACTTACCGGTTTTTGTACATGGCAAGCTATGTGCACATTCCAGTTTTTGTACATAGTGATCCACTATTTTGCCAATGTACACATTCCAGTTTTTGTACATTGCAATATCATATATGTGTTTATGTACATAGTTTCACATTGATATGATAATAATGTAAAATGATTAGTATAGCAGCATATATACTAAGTAAGCAAAAAGTATAAAAGACCTACCTTTTCACATGAATAAAGAACTAACTCAGTTAGAGTTTAATTAAGTAAAAAGCCAAGGAACTTAGTGAAGTCTTGCCTTCGAAATTAGAGTAGAAGTATTGGACCTAGTAGTATTTTCTTTTAATATTGCAGTCAGTCCAAATAAGCTGTTGTTGCTTAACCTTGTTATTAAACTTTATTGACCATAAGAAAGTAAAAGAACCTGACTTATATTATTTATCCTTGTATACCAATACTAATAAACCTTGAGATCTATTGCTTTCCAACCATCTATTGATTACCATCATTTCTTATAATGTAAAATGTGATAATTGTTGCAAACTTTAAAACACTGATCGCTGCAGTCATCGAAGAGTCATTACATGTAATCCTGAAATAAGCAGTATACCTAAAAGAGATGATATAGAAGCATTAGTAACCAATATCCTAGACCCAATCAAGACCAACTATCAGTATAAGAAGGAAGAGAAGCTTATCTGAACCCTGGCAGCTTTATCATAAGACCTAAGCTCTGAAAACTTAGGCCAAGTCTTTCTACACCTCTATTCGAAGCTTATTACTTTAAAGTTTCAATTATATCCTATTGTCAACTAGTACTTAGTTAAGTTAAATAGTGTTGTAGTATAATAGATAGCTAGTTTTGGCCTTATTCTCGATAGGAAAAACTTTCTCAATTGGTGGTAACTGTAAGATAGAACTTTTTATATTAAAACCAACAAGACTTTTGAAGCATCATTGTAATAGAAAATACAATCTAATCTTCCAACATGTCAGACCTAGATCACTTTGATGATGACTGGACTATACAGTAGAAAATTGATTGGCCATGATAATCTACCTATCGACAAAAATCTGCCTGTAAATGAAATCCAATCTATAACCTTCTTAGGAAAATTATTCAAGCTTTTTAAGAGGTCACCATCTATGATGTCCTATTAATTCATGAGAAAATAACTAAATCTATGTAAAAACATTCAAAAAAAAGAAAAAAGAAGATCCAGTCAAGTAGATTGAAGCCTGTAAGAGGGCTGTTGATGCAAATAATTGGGTCCAAACAAGAAAAATCCAAATTGCATCAAGGTATCTATTAGGGATTGCTCCTAGTTAGTACAATGATCAAAGAGAAGAACTTCTGTTTTGAGATGATGAAAACTATCCAGATGATAGCTTTGTTCAATTCTTTATAAGTTATTTGCAACCCCAAAACATAGACACCAATGACAGTTAGAACTAACTATATTAAAACAAAAAAAAAAAGAAAAAATAAATAAATATGTTTACTAATTTAAAAAGTTGTTGAAGAGGATTGATTCTAATTGCCAAATTCCTGCCACATATGTTATTAGGATGTTTATGAGAGGTTTATATAGTAAAACTGCCATCTTGATGTTAGCCAATGACTTTAAAACTCTAGATATGGCTGTTATAAAAGCAAGAAAAATAGAAACTAGTCAATATTATGAGAATCAAAATTAGAAAGAACCTATTAACCAAATTCTTAATGATCTAACACAGAAAATGTAACAGATGGCTGCTAACTTTGAAAGATTAACCACTCTCCAGCTGCTAGAATAGAATTAAATTTGCCCAAATCCCAAATTAGTACCCAACAAATTTGGCCTTAACAATTTCAATCTAGCAACAAAAAAATGAAAAAATTATATATTATAATTGTAGAAAAAAAGATGATATTGCCAGGAACTGCTTATCAGAATGATGTCAAAACCTCTGTCAACATTCTATAACCTCTCAAAAAACCACTTTACATTTCAGAGATGTTAATTTATATGACATCTATGATAATGATTCTGGAGAAAAAATCTATGCCATAAAGTGACAAATAGAGAATAAAACCCATTGAGATAAATGATTAAAAAAAAGAGTTGTTCATAAACCTAATCAGAAGTTCTATATAACCCCACCCATTCTGATGGAAGGAATTGTTCAAAAACAGACTCCAGCTCCAGTCCAACCTCAACCTAAGGCAAATAACTGAGTAAAACATAGATGAGAACCCTTAGTTGTTGATTTGACACCCCTATATAATATCACAAAAGATCTGCTTGGCCAATGTGCTAACACTACCTATGCTAAATTATTTTAAGTTCCAAAACAAAGACAAAATCTAGTACAGGCCTTTTAATGCCCAATAGTTACTACTATTGAAGCTACTAACTTTGCTGAAGATAAGACTCTATAACAAACTACAGCAGCTAAATGCTATATCAGAGTACAAAACCACTTCATATTAGCGATCTTAGACTTAGAGGCTGCAGTTAGCATACTTTTCAAAAAGCTAGTTAAAAAGCTAGACCTTACAATAACAGAACCTCCAATGCTGTAGTCATTACTGCAAATGAGGCTCATAAATGAGCACTAAAAAAGTTATTAGGAGTAAAATTAGCTGTTCAATGTGTTTTAATTTCTACAGACTTTCAGGTGATTAAAAACTCTAACAAAATGATGCTTCTTGGAATAGACTAGTTTCAAAAAGTCTGTGCTTGCCTCTATTTTGATAAAAAGAAGTTAATTCTCTAATATTTTGGCAAGAGCATCAAAGTCCCAATTTATTAGACAAAAGAAGATAACTTTGAATCCCTCTTAGATGATGGCGATGAAAATAATAATTTCTTTGATTACTATAAAGAAGAAAAAGACTTAGATGAAATAGAGAATTACTATACAGACAAAGCTAAAGTGGATGAAATAATTCTTGAATCATACAAGAATATTGACAACCCTGCAATCTATCTAACTAATATTGAAGAAATTCCAACCCCAGATGACCACCCTCATCCTGAATCAACTCTGAAGAATGAAATTGAACAATTAATCCAAACAGATACTCTAAATCAAGAACAAAAGAAAGAGGCCATACTTATTCTAAAAAAATATAGTAGACTATTTACAACCAGGTTGGACCAGTTAGAATATACTGCTGATATTCAGCATAAGATTAATACTAAGGAAGCAAAGTTAATTAAGCAATTAGCATATCAAATCTCTCCTGATGAGCAAGATTTTCTTAACACAGAAATTAAGAAGCTGCTAGATAGTGACCTTATATATGAGTCAAAAAGTGCCTAAACCTCTTCTGTGGTCATTGTACCTAAAAAGAATAGTTAATTTCAATTGTGTGTAGATTACAAAAAGCTTAATGCTGTAACCAAAAGAGATGCATACTTCTTATTGCATATTAATAATATGTTAGATATGTTTAACAAGTCCAAATGGTTCTTAACTCTTGATTTAGCCAACAGCTACTGGCAAATTCCAATAAAATTAGAGAATAAGAAAAACTGTACTTGTTACAAAGCAGAAAGTCTATGCTTTTAATGTTATGCCTTTTGGGTTGTGCAATATCCCAGTCACTTTCCAGTAAGCTATGAACAATGTGTTATATGAGCTAATCAGAAAATGTGCCACAGTATACTTGAATGCTATAATTATATACTCTGGGACCTATTAGAAATACTTAATACATCTTGAAAAGGTTTTTGCTAAAATAAAGACAGTAGGATTAAAGCTAAATTCTGAAAATTATGAATTATTTAAAGATAATATTAGCTTTTTAGGACATAATATAGAGAAAAACAGTATTCAACCTAATGAAGCTAAAGTAAACAAGGTGAAAAAATTTCCCACTTCTACAAATCTAAGACAACTCAGAGGCTTTATAGATCTGGCCTCCTATTACTGATGCTTTATTAAAAACTTCACAACTATAGCCAAACTATTTTATAAACTACTAGAAAAAGGTATACCATATGAATAGAAAGAAGAACAAAACCAAGCTTTTAATATATTAAAGACTCACCTTACTACTGCATCTATTTTAAGGTATCCTGACTTCAAAAAAACATTCTACTTTTACACTAATGCATCAGGTGTTAGGCTTAGAGCAGTACTAGCTCAAAAAGATAAAAATAAAAAGGAGTATGCAATCGCATATGCCAGTAAGAGCCTAACTTGCCCAGAAATAAATTATGTCATATCAGAGCTAGAATGTTATGCAATAGTTTGGGCTGTAGAATACTTTTAGCATTATCTGAACTACCAACCCTTTGTTATTATTACTGACCATTCTGCTCTAAAATGGCTTCAGACTACTACATTAAAGGGAAGGAGAACCTGTTGAATTTTGCATCTCCAACTATACAACTTTATTGTATTGCACAAGACAGAAAAATTACACAACAATGCTGATGCATTGTCAAGAATGACTAAAGAATTACCAATAAATAGAGATGATAAAGACAAAGTAATTAGCCAATATCTTTTTTTTTAATATTAATAATAAAGCCATGCCTCTATCTTTATTGAATATTTAACTGAAATTTTTATATAAAGTTTAAATCTACTTTTAAAATATTATAGCAAGAATAGAAGCTCAGACTAATTTATCTGCGACCT